CTTGGCCTGCTGTGTTCATCCAGCTCTACACCTTGTTATCTCAGATTTTCCAGCATCTGCAGTTCCTACTATCTTTAAAACAACTGGTTTATTTTCCCTGATTCTAGATTATGGCTCATTCCACTCTGCTATCAGAAAGTAATTTTTCGTTCAGCACGATTCTGGTCTCTAGAATTCCAAACCTCCCTGCATCAGAAGCCACTTTAAAAATTCGGCTCCGTCACTGTACATCTGGTTCTGTCTTCAACCAATCTGTGCTTACTGCTCATCTCTCTGCTTTGTAAAGTACTTTTGAGATGTTCTTTTGCATGAGTGGAGATATAAATGTCATACCTGTTGATATTTTGCCACAATGTTCTGGTGTCTATAAATCATTGAACCTTCTGTTGCATCCCTGAAACTTGGATATCTGACTGGATTGTGATGTGTCAGAAATTTAACCTTGTACTACCTCAGCAAGGGAATCAAATACAAATTGTCTAATAATCAAACCATGCTTTGCTAACAGAGGATATCTCGAAGTATTGTATAGATCAGGATTTATCAAATGTTTGAATTCAGTAATATCCAGGCTAAATAATCAGTTTGTACATTATAATATGACTCAGATAATTAACCAGTTGGAGTTGTTTTTGTGAGAACTTATGGAGGTAATTGTAAAAATCGAAAAAACGGTGGATGCTATAAATCAGAAATAAAAACTGAAATTGCTGGTAAAGCTCAGCAGATCTGGCAGCATCTGTGAAGAGATAAAGGAAGGGTTACTTGATCCGAGACGTCAACTCTGATTTCTCTCCACTGATAATGCCAGGCCTGCTGAGCTTTTCTAGCAATTTCTGTTTTGGTTTCTGAAGGTAACTGTATCCAGTTATTTATCCATGTAAAAACAGAAGAGGGGCTGAATGGTCCACTGCTGCTCCATATTTGTATTTTCGTAAGTAATTGCATGCATCACCTTATTATCAATCCCTGCTTGATTTGTTTACGTTATTTTAAGCATAACTGACTTGATGCATCACTGTGACTTAATATCTAATGACGGAGTAGAATAGGTAGAACCAAGTACGAGAGAAATTTAAGCTACAGGATTTAGCACGTGACTAGTAAAAATCATTCAGAGTAGGTAGACGAGGGCTATTGTTGGACTTGAGCAAGTAGTGAGCAGATTTGTGCAATTAAAAGTCAGTAGATACGTAGAAAGAGTGCAGAAAGGGAAAGATAAAGAGTGCAGAATCTGCTGAAAAATTACTTACAAATTCACTGTGGTTACCAGATGTACAATGTTCAACCATTATTTGTTTCTCCTTCAGGAATTAGAGGCTAGTTCCAGCATCCTGTGTGAAATTGGATTTAGTATCAAATAGTGTCTTGTCTCTGGAGATGCATTATATGTACAGATCCAATAGGAGAAATAGTGGTTGAGGCTAATAGCTAAATTGAAATTCATCAAAGAGAATTCAAGGTTTAAAAAAAATTGCCTTCAAAACTAATTACTTAAAACATCATAAGAATTTTTAAATGTTATTAATACTGTGTAATCATTAAGTTTGCAATTGCCTGAAGTAGTAGGGAAGTTTCATAAATGCATCATTACATTTTTAACTAATTTTCTGCTCAAATGTAATTGGTTACACTATGTGAGCTAAAGATGTATAAGAGTATTACAGGTACATCTTTAGTTCCTGTGTTAAAATGCTTTTTAAGAAGTTTTTTGATTTCAGATTAAAAGAAAGGTACCATTCCTGTACATAAAGGTAAAACTGTGGAGAAGAATATTTAATATTTATTGTAGATCATATTGCAAAATAATAACAGATATGTTATGAAAAAAAACCAAAGATCTGCAGATGCTGGAAACAAAAACGGGCGTTGCTGGAAAAATTCAGAAGTCCGGCAGCATCCGTGGAGAGAAAGGACATCTGAAGAAGAGTCACTAGACCCAAAATGGTAATGCCCTGCTTTCACTCCACAGATGCTGGTAGACCTGCTGAGTTTTTCCAGCAATTTCTGTTTTTGAGAGCAGATACTTGATATTGTGTGCCAAGCTATTCTGCTGACATTGGAAAGCTATGATTTAGTTCTTGCAAGAAAGGGTAATAAGAAACAGACCTGTGCATGTGTTATATATTTTGACCTCTACAGGTATTCTTAGCATTTTCTGATAGAATAAAAAAAAGTAGCTTGTTTATTTGCTAGATGAAACGAGCTCTCTCAGTAAATACAAAATTTTGAAGCTTAATATTAGAGGTTTCATTCTAATCTAACCCCTTAGTGATGATAGTGAATCAAAATAATTTTATGCATACAAGAATAATTCTTAAATAGGAAATAAATGATAACCAGGCTGCAATTTTATTCTTTGAATTATTCAATTACGATGTCAGCCTTTTTTGTGCTTCTTAGAATACCAGCTTGTTTCCTAGCTCAAAGTGCATTGCAAAGCCTAAATGATGAGGATCAAGGTGTTTCATCCATGAATTAGCCTTCATTATGTATGGATGATTCAGTGCAAATCAATAGGCAGAACTTCAACCTTGAACTAGATTAATGCACAGGTATTGTGCAGTGTCATACTTATTACCCATCCCTTGCTATAGTTAAGTGACTTGCTAAACTATTTAGAGGCCAATTAAGTATCAGCTACAGCAGTGTCACATATAGGCCTGATATTCTTAAATTGCTACACCTTTGGGCTCTCATGGAGCTGCTGCAACTTGGTTTCCCTGGAATTGTCATCTGGTCAGAAGTGTAAGAAGTGTACTTCTCCACTTCCTGCCCTTTCCTTGCCCCATCCCCTTCTCTCCGTACAGAGTTTAGCAGTTATGGTGAGCACGCACAAGCACTGGACCAATATACCTGTGCATTCTCCATATACACGTACCATATCTGAAAGGTTAAAAGTAAATAAAGCTACAGTCTTTTTCAGTTTGATTTTCTTGCTTTGTATTAGTGCGTTATTGAAAACAAAATGAACTTGTGATCTTTATTGCTTTGTTCAAAAAGTATCAAAAAACTAAAATTTAGTTTGTTACCAATGAAGCATGACTAAGTATTAGTTATTAATCAATAATAGGCAATAATTAGATGTAAGGTGGCAACTCTGATAAAATAAGATTTGACTCCAACCAGGGCTAAAGTTAGAAAGATGATGAGAAATATGACTGCCCTTTGCCGTTTTGAGCTGAGATTTCTTTGTGATACAGTGTCACTAATTCTTGAGTTACATTATCACTTAGAGGGAGTTAAAACTGGCAGCAATTGTCTAATTTTGAAGGGAAACTACCTACCTGCTTTCCATACTTGCGAATAAGCAGTTCTAATTGTGTGTGTGTGTGTGTGTGTGTGTGTGTGTGTGTGTGTGTGTGTGAGAGAGTGTGAGAGAGTGAGAGAGAACATGTATACTGTATAAGAGAGAACATTTATATCATACACATTTTTGTAACTTTAATTCTTATTCTGAGTTAATTTGTCATGTTATTTTTCTTATACCATCTACAAACATTTCTTGCAAAGCTTGTGCACATATGCTTGGCGATGATACATTCAAATAACAATACAAATTTTGTTAGCAAATTTCTATATATGTTTTATACTGATTCATGCACAACTAGAAGCACTTCTTTAACACAGGAAGGTGAAGCCAAATTTCATTGATATAAAGCTGGTGAGCTGGCATTCATAGCAAAATTGATCTCTTGCACAAATATGCTTATTAACAGTCTCTGTGAGATGCTATAAAAAAGCAGTACCTGGGCTTTGAAATAACACAGTTTATTTTCTTCTGACTTGTTAAGGAAAACTCTTTTTGTCTGTATCTGTTGGGAACAAAAATCTATTTGAATCCGATTTGCAGTTACATGTCATCATGTAGACCATGGAGGCATTGTTTAGATGTACATTTTAACATACAACTAACTTACAATTATTAATAGTTGCAGAATGTATTATAAGTTTTCAACTGTGATGCTGTTTATATTATAGGAATGTGCTGCATTTTAATCAAGAATTTTTGAAATTTGGAAGTGTTTAATTTGTCCTTTTTCCTGAAAATTTTAATTCTGTGTTACACTTTCTTCCACTCTTTCTTTGTGTCTCCTTTGCGTATCCCATTTTTGCAGTTGAGATAGTGGAATAATCTGCCCAGTTGTTACATAAACTAGATTTATTTCTGCCTATGTCCCATTGTTTCTTGGCTTCCATTTATTCTTCTAATTTCCCTTTATAATTAATATTACATTTTGGCTTAAAACATTTTTATATATACTCTGGGTGAGCTGTTTAAAAACGCAGCAAAAAAAATTCAAGTCTAAACAGAGATAGTAGGAATTGCCGATGCTGGAGAATCTGCGATAACAAGGTGTAAAGCTGGATGAACACAGCAGGCTAAGCAGCATCAGAGGGCATCCTTAGAAGAGGCTTTGCAGTGGGGTTTATTTTCTGAAGAAGGGTCCAGACCCGAAACGTCAGCTTTCCTGCTCCTCCGATGCTGTTTGGCCTGCTGTGTTCATCCAGCTTTACACCTTGTTATCTCAAGTCTAAACAGGATCATTTCTCACCTTGCTTCTATGGAAATCAGTGTATTGTGTTGATTATGTTAAATCTTCAACTCTTTTTGTGTATATTTTAAGTTTAACATCATCTCCATTTTATCTCTTTATTTTGATTCTATGTAGCTGAAACTCTGGGGTGAATGTATGTTTACTGAAAATGTGACAATGGGTGCCCCTGGTCAACACGAGGGAAAGTTAAAACCATCCAAGAAACAGCATCCCATACCAGTGGGAACGTGGAACTGAAGTTTGCTTGTGTAGCAGTGGTTTCCACTTTCTTTATTGAAGCACAACTTCATATTAGCATTTCTGGGACTTCTTCTTCAACAAGTGCTTAGATATGATCAAGAAATGTAGTCACTTAATCAAAGAAGAATCATTGTGAGCGTCACTAAGTTACCCTTTCTGAAGATGATGAAGTGGAGCAATCATTTTTTAATCTGGTTGATAGTACTTCATCTTATGCAGCAGGAACCAATGATGTGCACTGTCCCCAAAGCTTTAATGCATAAACTGTGGCGAAAAGGATTTTTATGTTGGAATGTATCTTCATTAAATAATAGGTTTTTCACCTGTGTATTTTTTCCTTCAACTTCTCCCCAAAATAATAATAGTTATGATCATTGGATTCCACAATAGTAATCAAAAACTGCTGTACTATGGTTTTAGTGTAAGTTTGTCTAAGGTGCAGTGTTAACCTCCTTTTGTAATGTGGTTATCAAACATTTTTGTCTGCTAACATCTCAATTATTTTTTTTTCTGTGTTCAAATTACTGTAACGTGCCAGCATTATTGCTACTATTTTCGCGTGGAAGAAGCTGTGGGATCAGAATCTTAAGTGTCTGGAAGCATAATGTTTTTTGTCTCAAGTAGCATTGAATTTTAAACTATGAACCTACATTTGAGTCAAGCCAAATGACACCAGAAGATACTTAGTTAAGCTATGAATGACTGGAAATGAATTAAAGCAGTGCTTCTGTTCCACAGTAAGATGGTGTCCTTATCAGCCTATGCAAGAGCAATTTTATCAATGTGAAGAAAACACGTTTTCATGTGAGTTTTGGAGTTAAAGTTCAAGGTCGTTTTAAGATGTTCTGTTGATCACAAGATTCTGAACGGTACTTTGGGATTAAGATTATGTGTATGAAAATGTCAGATACTGTTTTATTTTCACAGGATTAAAGTAACAGGAAGAACAAGGCATTTTAATAAAGTATGTGAGGGGAATCAAACAATGCCAAAATGTGGTATGGCACAAAAGAGATAAAATTCTATCTATTTATAATTCCATTGTGAGACTTAAAATGTTATAAAACTGAGTCACCCCCATATTTGTGGCCATTGTGTACAAATGTAAATTTAAGCATTTAAGGAATTGTTCATTCCACTTCCCTGAGCCACTCCTTTGACATTAATCTCTACTTGAGTTGAACTAAAATGAATTCCAAATGGTTAAAACCAACCTCTGCTTATGTACTAGTGTCAACGGTTAAAAATCCTTAGCTTCCTTACAGAGGCATTGCCACTAAGCAACCTTTTACAGCCAAAAGAGCAAAATCGTATGGAGAATGGCATCTTTTGTGACCATGATCAGTATTGTCCTATGATTTCCTGACACACAATTGATTTTGTAAAGGAGACAGTTAGCAACAAACTTCCTCAACAATACAATGTTCTATCATGCAGTATGCACCATATATCACTTCAAGCCAAAACGTCTTTTGCATCCAAGCAAATAAATGAGCTTGAATAAGTGGCAGCTCTGAGCTGTAATCAGCACACAATGTTGATGTAATTTTACTGCTAGGATATAGGGATTCTTTGATAAATTTAATAGGTGCCATTTTATGTAACAGCAGAATCGTTGGACAGTTCTTTCATTCAGCAAACAAATTTAATTGCTAATTCACACTGAACAAGATATCATGCCATAAAATGGCATTTGAAGCAAAAGAGTGGCTCAGTGAAGTGATATTAAGTATTCAAATGATGTACAAAATAACTAAGCAGCAGTATTTTTAATCTAACTTGTCTGCTTAAGTAACTTGAGGAATTTAACGATCGACAAACAGCTAACCTATTTCATAGAAATTTTTTTTTTAAATTCTTCATGACAGCTTGATTCTGTTTTGATTAACTAATAATCTCATTAAAAGTGCACTAATGGGCAGGGGGAGTAGCTGCTTCACCTAATTCACAATCTGAATATTATTTTATTGTTGTAAAATTAAATTTCAAAAAATAATTTTAGTCTGGGTTGGGGCTGTGAATGCTGTGTAGACACTAAGCAGGGCTTATTGGTGTATATCTTGTTCCAAATTTTAGACATTTATGATGGTTAGCGTTGGATCTAATATGTACTGATGGGTGTTTATTACTTTACCAGTTCTGTATTGAAGTACTTGAAAGACCTATTTCTCTGTGTATAAAGTTGTAGAGTCATGATCAAGTGTTGAAACTGGACATATCATGGTACCAAACACTAGGATTGTTGTGCAAAAACTAGACTGACCTCATAACAATACAAGTTTGTAAATATACTTGGGCTTCCAGTCTGTTTTTGTTACTACTTTTTACCATTATTTGTACAATTAGAAATCAGTGAATAAACAAAGCTGAGTAAATTTTTGAATAAGTGTTTCAATTTGATCAGAATTAATAGGTTTTTCTTTGCAGCATTGTAGTCATTTGTAACGCAGTTCAGAATTTCTTTGTCCCATTTCAAAAGCCACAACCTTTAGATCAAAGCACATTGTTCTGCTTCAGCACTTTCAGCAACAAAACCCAGAGCTTCCATGAATTTCAGGGTGACCATTCTGAACCCAATTTTGTCATAAAAGAATGAACTAAATATTTCATAATGCGCTGTAACCCCAATTTTCAAGCAGAATGCACCAAACCGCAGAATTGGTCATCACGATTACCAAAAATGTTAAGCGTAGCAAAGGTGACGTTGTGTTCTGAGTGTATCAGTCTGAAATAATTTGTGATTGCAAGGAGCAAAACGATTTAAAGTCTGCCAGTAGCCTACTTCAGCATTAGTGTTTGAAAAATCATGAAAATAATCCAACTGTATTACATGATCCCAAACACGCAACATTGCAAATTCAAGTGTTACAAAGTGCAATCATTTTGTAGTGCACTAAGGAATTGATAGTGGATCTCCTCATATGAAAGGAGAGACAGTGGGGGCTTCCTTCCCAAAATGCTTAACAGCTTAAGTGTTGTAGGATCCTCAAAGGTAGCTAAAAGAGCTGCACAATTTGGTTATTCTTACTTTAAGGCAAGGATGCTGTCTTTTTAAAGGAATTCTATAGTGTTAAAGATAGCTGTCCCAAGGATGATTTGTGCTTCTGATGACCAATTAAATTGGTGCCTAATGCTGTTTGAGGCAGCTTCATCTCCTGTTGCTGATGAGTACTTTTATTAACCATCTCTCCTCAGTGATTAATTAGGCAGTAGTAAGGAAGTTATTGGTGAGGATTTCGAGCATGTCTTAAAGCCATGCTGTATCTGTGTGGCATGCAAGCTCACAGCTAAATTTAGGTGCATTCAAAAAACAAAAAGGAATGGATCTACCCATAATGTTTTTAGAGTAAGATTATCATTGCGCAAAAGATCTTTGAACTTAAAATATGCATCAGGCTGCTGACTATCTGAGGAGGGCAGTTCAAATGTCATCTTATAGTACTCAGAAGTCTACAACAGACAAGGAGACCGTTTTCCAAATCTTGGCCCAAAGCCCTGGAGACTATGGCAATGCAAGTAAATATCTAAGTACTACTTAAATATTTTGAGAGTTTCTGACTCAGCCACTTGTGCAGACTTTTCATTTTTTATTTTACTTAATACTCTGGGACGATGATGAACCAACCTCATCCTGCACCATATTATAGTTAGCTTGTACAATGCAGGGTATCTGTCAGCCAGCCGTAAGGACAGTCATGAGACAGGGGAACAGACATGCTGGCATCTGTGGAGAAGCTTCCTGATTGCCAAGCCCCTACCTCAGGATCTCTAATTTGCTATGGTGACGATGGAAGTTACAATGAGTCATCAGACAGTGCATGACTTTGAACTCCTCAGGCTGCTGGATGAACTTGGTCACCTGTCCATGTTACAAAGATTAGGATTTGGACTAAGCATCAATCACGATGTCAAGATGGAGCTGAACTCTTAGATTTCACAGGTTTGTGACCACAGCTGCCTGATTATTGGCAGTAGAACATTCACAAAGAATTTTCAGGTACTTAATTAATATTTGAAAAGCAGCAGTTTAGACAATTAGACAAAGGATATACAACCTCTGAAATTAGGATGGTTTACTGATACCGGAAGAACAGGCACTCAACATGAGGTGTTTGAATTTCATTAAAGTTGTGAAGGTAGCATTCTGTTCTCTACCTGTATTGATAGAGCACTGTTCCCTGGGTCTTTCCTCAATGTCTTCTGAACAAGACAGCTCTCTGCCTTCTGACCCTGAGCTGCTCTTGATATACTGTATTTCCAGGAGCTGGTAGTTCGTGCTATATCAATCACCCATTTGAATCTTTAAACCCAGTGAAAATGGGACAGCTACTCATTGTGTCAGGTTGGCCATTGTCCCCTACCAAGCTTTTATCTAAGGGTTAATTGTTATTCTTTCTAAGAACAAAACTTCTATTTCCCTAAGCACTGCATTGATAATCAAGTGTGCATGGCGCTCTACAGTTTATTGACTTTAACCCAATTCAACATCATAACTTGTGGGATCCAGGTGATTCTTGTACCTTTTAAGTTTATTTACCATAAATTTGGAATGGTCGTTACTGTAGCAGCCATCAGAACTGCTACTGCATAGGAAATACTAGAAAAATTCAGTTTTAAAGAGACTCCAATTTCCCAACAGTACCTCTTTGAGAAGAAAATATCAACTTCTCACAACTAATTCTTAAATAACCTGTTTGTTTATGAAGTAAAAGTTTGGCTCGCTGTTTTCTTGATTTTATATCACATAGCATATTAGAGCTATTTGAAATGTTTAGATCAAATTTTGGGTGACTACTAAATAGCCAACATTCTCAACTGTGAGGCTTGTCTGACTGTGTTCACCTAGCTTTTGAATTTCTTTGTTGATTCTTCTATTCTGTTAGACCATTTTAACGAAATGTTTTCCAATGTACTTGTCCTATCTAGGATTGGTAAAATGTTTAGTGATAATGAGGGATTTGAATGGCCAAACCGAGCTTTAAGGGCATTGCTCAGCATGGAGATACGTATTCTGACTTTTATGATGTTTTGCTTAGATGCAGGGAGCAAGAAATTGCTTCTTATCACAGAAGTCTGAGTGGGTTAGAATCAGAAGATAAGCTTCCAAATGAGACAACTTTCTCCCCCCATGTTTCATTGTCTTGGCATTTGTTGTGATGCAGTACATCTCCATCTAGGTGATTCTGGATCTGGGTTGAAGCCACAGGACACATTAGCTTGATTTCAAATATCATACCAGCACAAGTAACCCCCTCCTCTTTCTCAGCAAAGTACAGTCTAACTGGAACTATTTCATATTTTATATTGTGTAATCAGTTGTGGCCAAGGGTGGTGACTAGTCCATTTGCAAGCCCCTTCTCCAATTTTGGACACCTGTCTTTATTTCCCCAGTTGTCTCCCATTCTCTGTGCATCTTTTCTCTTTATATCTAGTTGTTGGATTGTACTCCCTCTTCCTGGTTCCACATTGAACTTATCCGATAATCCTCTGGGGGCTTTGGTTTGTCTCTGGTTGGTTACAGTATGTACAAGTATAGCAACAGATTATGCATACACCTAGAAGATTCTCCAGGTCTCCCTTCGCTTGTACTTGTGGATATTTCTTTCTCTGTCCCTCAAACCACACCCCCATGAGCCTTCAATTCTCCTAACTGAAACTTTTTACCCCACACTGTCAAGTACCACTGATTTCAATTTATTTTCTCCATGGATTATGTGTCACTATCTGTAGGGTGTTTTCTTGCTCTTCAGTTAATTAATAATAATTTGTCAAGTAGTTGTACATGTCTGACACCCATTCTTCAATGCATTTTCTCCATGCATTTCCTTTGTATTTATTACCTCAGATGTAACAAATCAGGTTCTTAAGGTTTTAGCAGAGATTTGTAGCTCGGGTTGTGGGTGAGGTTGTTGACTTGCTCGCTGAACTGACTTGTTTTCGTTCAGACGTTTCATCACCGTGCTAGGTAACATCATCAGATGAAACGATTTTGTTCTACTCCACTTGGAATTTATGCTGTCCGGTCCGTTCTGGTGAGTAGTGTCATTTCTGGTTTGTTCTGTATGGGTTTGTATATGGGGTCCAATTCTGTATGTTGATTGCATTACAAGTGGAGAACCATGCCTCTAGGAATTCCCGTGCGTGTCAATGTTTTGGCTTGGGCTACTATGGTTACCTTGTTACAGTTAAACTGAAGGCCTTCATTGTCCAAGTGTACTGATATTAAGGAAAGTTTTTTGTTGTGTTGTTTTGCTGACAGCTGATGTTCGTGTATTCTGATGTCTAGTTTCCTTTCTGTCTGTCCAATGTGGTGCTTGTGGCAGTCATTGCATGGTATTTTGTAAACGAAGATAACAAGGTGTAGAGCTGAATGAGCACGGCAGGCCAAGCACATCAGAGGAGCAGGAAAGCTGAAGTTTTGGGCCTAGACCCTTCTTCAGAAACATTTTGTAAACGAAGTTGGTTCTGCGTGTTGTGGGAATGGGGTCATAGATCATAGAATCTCTACAGTATGGAAACAGGCCATTCGGCCCAACAAGTCCACACCACCCCTCTGAAGAGCATCCCATCCAGACCCATTCCCCTACGTCTGTATTTTCCATGTCTAACCCACCTAACCTAAACATCCCTGGGCACTATGGGCAATTTAGCAAAGCTAATCCACCGACCCTGCACATTTTTGGACAATGGGAGGAAACTGGAGCACCCGGAGGCATGGGGAGAATGTGCAAACTCCACACGGACAATCGCCCGAGGTTGGAATCGAACCTGGGTTCCTGGCGCTGTGAGGCAGCAGTGCTAACCACTGAGCCACTGTGCCGCTCTGTGAGTGTTTGTCGTAAAGTGGCTGTGGGCTTGTGTGCGACCATGATTCCTAATGGTCTTAGCAGTCTTGTTGTCAGTTCTGATATGTTCTTGTTGGAGGGCAGCGTGGCCAGTGTGTTAGGGCGTACTGTGTCCTCATCGTTGTCTGTTTAGTAGGCATCTGCAGATGAAGTTGCGGGGATATCTGTTCATAGTGAAGATTTTGTATAAGCGCTCTTCCTCTTTCCTGCGTAGATCCAGAGTTTTGCAGTGAGTGGTGGCCCATTTAAATAGTGTCCTAATACAGCTTTGTGGACGTTGGGTTGGTTGCTGTGGAAGTTGAGGATTTGATCAGTGTGGGGTTTCTCTCCTATATACTGAGGTTTGGAACTCCTCATTGGCCATGCGTTCAACTCTGACATCCACAAACGGAAGCTGATTGTTGTTTTCTTCTTCTCTCGTGACTTTAATCCTGGTGAACACATTGTTGATGAGGTGGTGGGTCTCTTCTAGTTTGGTGCGTTTAATAATGACAAATGTGTCATTAACATACTGGATCTACAGTTTAGGTTGAGTGAG